CAGTCATTGGATTTGTTGCTGTTGATCAACAGATTCTTTGCTTGTTGTTCATCCATTATTTAGAAAGTTTTGGGATAAAAGTGGATTTGGATCTTTAGTTCAAAAATAGTCAGAAACTGACTCTAGGAACACACCGCTCTGATACCACTTGATGGTCCCGGATAGAGGTAAAAGTCTAGAGGGGGGGGGGGGTGAATAGACTTTTAAAATCTTTTTCAACTTTGTGAAGTTTTCCCTCTAGATGAGTTGATCTATAATCTTTTAAGAGATTAATAGATGCACAGCGGAAGTCTTTAACCTCTTTATACTTGGTGTGAGACAACTTTCTAGTTTAGATGATGTTTCGACTGGTGACAAGAGGAAGTAGGCTTGGCAGTAGGCTGGTGAGCAGATAACTGCTTAGTCTACTGCTGCACAGGCAGTTTGCTGACTGGCAGGCAACTGCTGAGTTGGCAGTCGACTGGTGGGCAGGTTACTGCTGAGGCAACTGTTAAGAACAGGATGACTTTTGGATGGCTTTTTGTTCTGGCTTGTTATGGCGTTCGGAAAGACACATATAAATGGGCAGTGGGCTCAGCAGGAGGGTGAAGACCAGGGTACTGCTGAGGCACCTTCTGAGTGTAAGATAACTTCTAGTGGAAAATACTCTCAAGGAGAGTGAGCTATTAAGCAGTAGGCTAAGCAGTACAGTCGATGAAGACTACTGCTTAGGATGCTGCTCGCAAACTACAATCCTTTAGTGAGATGTGTTTGGTGTGTGCTTCTGTATGTATGAAAGTAAATCAACACACGATATATCCTGGTTCAGAGGTGGTGTAATCCTCCTACATCCAGTCCCACCCTATTTCAGATGGATTTCCACTAAAGTATTCAGCCCAATACAATTAGTGCCAATCTAGCCTTGACAACTCTGGCCTAGATTGAAGGTTTTTCACGATGAGTATAACACCACTCAAAGTTACTCAGTCCTTAGACTTTTCTCAATTGATCCAGTGGGGATCAAAAGGTACTCTATCTATCTAACCACACTATAGGATCCGAACAACTGTTCTCCTAAGTGTTTACAACAACATGAATTGATTCACGTAGTGTCTAACCGCCAACTAAAACCTAAGCTCTATAAATGTTACAATTAATGATCTAGTCTAAGAGCTTAGTGAAGCATGAGTCAAAGCAGTGTTCAAGCACTTTTTCCTTTGCTGGATATGCGTAGTGTAATGACTGAACCACTTGCTTTGAACTCAATGACTTACCTTTGATCTCATGCTTCTGCCTATTTTTATAGGCATCTCCGGTAGATTAATCTCCTCCGTTGGTTAAGAGGATTTAATCCTAGACGTCCAAAGTATTGTACTTGCGTCTTCTTGTGTTGGAGCAGGATAAGGATTTGTCTTTTGAAGACCACTTGCTTTGTACGAAGATAACACCCATACCTTAGGCCTTCTTATCGCTGCATGCCTATTCTGAAACTCTTCACTATTCACCTAATCAGATGTCTTCTCTCCTCTTGCGTTCTGAGTGTATTGGCCTTGTCTTGCAACTACACTTGTAAAGCCGAGTGCGTGAACCTGCTCAATTTGTGTAGTGAAGTAGTAAAATGTGTGACTTAGAATATTTTGTATCAAATAAGTTTTGTACTGGTAGGATCTTTGAAATATCCTATTAAGGTAATAGGATTACCTTATTGCATTTTGTTCTTTCCAGTACAATTTATTTGGTACAAATTTTACAGTAAAATTTGTCACTTATTTTACTAATCACTTTCTTTCTTTAAGTGACATGATTAAACTTATATACCAAATTAAAGCTATACTGGTTGGATCTAAATATCCATGTAAGGTAAATAATTTTTACCTTATTGCATTTTATAGTTCCAGTATGTTTAATCTGATACACAGTTTGTACATTGGAATTCTTGTCACTTTTAAGTACTTGTGTAGTTTAGCAGGTACTGTGGACAACTTAACTGGTAGGATAACAAATCCTATTAAGGTAAAAGTTATTACCTTATTGCATTTTGTGTTCCAGTTAGTTTGTTCATTATTCTTGTTCACATTGATTTATATATCAAATAACACTTTACTGGTTGGATTTAAATATCCAATTTCAAGATAAAGACAACTTTACCTTTTTTCATTTTGAATCCCAGTGTGTTCTTTTTGTTATATAGAATCTACATTGTTATTTGTTGTAGTGAACAGAATATCAAGAACTCTTCTTCTGAGTGTATGGTTTATCTAGTATTTTGAACATGATAAGCTAAATATTTAACTGGTAGGATATCAACTCCTATTAAGGTAAAATTACCTTATTGCATTTTGTTTTCCAGTTAAAATAAATAGTTTATTTGTACGAGATGTTATTGTGTGTAACAAATAAATTTAACTGGTTGGATTTATATGATATCCTTTTAAGGCAATACAATATTGCCTTATTGCATTTTATGGTTTTCCAGTCATATTTATTTGTTAACTGTATAAAAGGAGCACGAAACATCTAGATAATTTTCTTAGTACTAGACAACTGCAAGGTGCTACAACAGAGGATAACAAAGACTCTTATAATAATGCTACAATAGAGGGGGGATAACAAAAGCTTTTGGCATCATCAAAAACAGTTCATCAAAATCTAGGTTCTAACAATAATTAATAGTTGAGATTATTCTTAGCGGACCGACAATAGTTGGGATTAATATTTTCAATTTTTCCAACTAATTAATCATGTTATGGTTAAAAATATTCAATGGGACACATGGATTGAGAGGTGTCTGAAATTGGTTATGCTTTTGCTTCTTTTTTCGATCCTGAATTAAAATCACAATCGGTTTTTGAGAAGTAGGCCCCTCTCAACTTCTTAAAAAATTGCTTCTATGAGTAATTTGGAGCACTTAGAAGTACGTCTAAGCTTTCATTTAAATACTTCAATATCTGCTTCTGATTTATGAGGGAGCATAATCAAATTTATGAAGTAGATCTAAACACGTACTACCTCTGTTCCCATTAGTTTACAAATCTAATCTCCAAGAAGTAAGAAAAAGAAAGGTATATCCACAAAAAGTAAATGATGAAATGATAGTGATGGCTTCATCGACCCTCGGGGTAGCAGAAATCGAGAGAGCGGGGAACTGAGAAGTTGCTCAGTATGAATTGAGTAGAAAAATTGGCAGCATAACAGTAAGCTTGTGCGCAGAAATGACAATGTCTTTCCACAAGTTGGAAGAAATATTTATAGTGTAAAGTGAAATACTTGAGCAATAAGTAAAATTAACTAGCCTAATAATTCAATGACACGTGTAAAGCTTAATTGATGAGAGAATAGTCACGACTAGTTGATTCATATTGTGTGTAACAAAATTTATCATATGGAAGCCACACATGTAGAATCCTGGAATAATCTTTTGTGTAAATCGCCTGGGTGACGTAAGCCCTAGACAACTGTCATGTTGATGACGTAATCATAACTGTGTGCAGAACTTGAGTGATGAAACGTCGAAGTCCACAATCTTCATACGAGATCATGGACTTTGCGGAGAAGGTAGAGCTCGGGTGCAGTGTGTTTAAATGAAAGGAGGGTGGCCTCGGTTTGCGATGTAAAGCGGTGATGTTCTTATTAGTTCCTTGACTTCGTGGAGTATCAGTTGACTTCAAGCTCGGCTACAGTGCTTGGGTCGACGCTGACCTCGGTGAGGGTTGACCTCAGCCTCAGATGTAGCTTTGGACTTGTCTCGATGATCTGAGAACCGGTTTTGGGCCTGACCTCGATTGGAACTGACTTAGTGGATTTTGGAATCCTCTATTCGTGAATATTGATACCCCTAGGGTATATGAGAATATACTCCACCAGGTAGATAAAAGGATACAATGAGAAAGTAAATATATAGTGGAGTCGAGTTTAGAGAAATGATTGTATTTTTGAGACATCTCAAAAAGGAAGTGCAGCTTACAAAACGGGTCAGAGGGAGTACTAAATAGACTAGAATCAGACAAGACCCGACACGTGTAAACCCATACCCCCATAAAAGATTTGGGTATGCCAACAGTTACATCCGTTCTACATTATTCTCTTTTTGTCTCCACAAAGATTTATTTCAGTGGACATTTTATGGACTCGATTTCTGAATTGAATCTGAATCGGTTGACTATTACCCGGGATTTGGTATCGAGGTCTTGAATCCGTACCAATTCAAGAGGTGCGAGGACAGTTTCAATATGTAAGGTTTGCAAATTAAATATATTTTATTTATCATTTTTTAATAAAATAAGATTTAAATTGTGAAATTATCTTAATATTGATACACAATATAATTTCAAATAAAATTCAAATGTGATTTTTTATTTGTCATTTAATAGAGGCAAAAGGCCGTAAGATAGAATATGTGAACAAAGTGCAATTATTACAAAAATTATCAATATTTACTTAAAACAGGCTATGCATAGAAATTGTCAAATATATCTATAATCTATTTATTTCTCTCTCCTATTTTTCATTCTACCGTACACACAATTTTATGTATAATAAATTAGACTATTACTGCGTATATGTTTATCTTATGTGTCACATAATAATAAAGTCTTAAATCTGCCAAGCATCCTGTGGTTTGAGGACATCACAGTGACACTTCCAAGGTGGATGTCACATGTTCGAAACTCATTTCAATCAAGGATGTTAACATTTAACAAAAAAATACTACTCCCTCCGTCCCGAAAAGGTTGGCTAAAGTTGACTTTCACGTGAATTAATAAAGTAAAAACTGTGTGGTCGAAATTTGTGCAGAGAAGAGAGAATTAACTTTAAATTAACTTTAGCCACATATTCCTTACTTTAAATGGAAATGACAAATCTTGTTGGGATATCCAAAAAAGGAAATTTGACCAACTTTTCGAGAAAGATGGAGTATAAGAAAACAAGAAAGTACACCCAAAAAAAAAAGTCTTAAATCTAACACATCCCATTATCCAAATTCCAAACAAGTTATAGCCCAAAACGCCGGTAGTAGACCCGCAATAGAATTTATGACATCCATAATTGGAGAAGTATTTTCCTCCAAGCCACTAAACCCCACATTTCTAGAACATCTCGCTATTTTTCTTCCTAAAACCCTATCAACTCCTCTTTGAAGAAACTGATCATCTCGCATCAAGAAGGCCCCAAAATCTTATTTTTTCTGCTTCGTCATGGTGGTCAGCAGAATCGCGTCCCGGATTTCTAAGTCCGCACTGGCTCAGTGCCGCGACTCGTTGATCATATATGCGCGGCAACAGAAACAGCAGACCCCAACCCTTTCAAATCGATTCCATTCTATATGTTATTCTCAACAAACGGTACTATACTCTGTTGAATGATCTATAAAGTTCTCGTATTTCTCCGATGCGTTAATAATCTAAGGCTAAGCTGCAATTTCTTGGTTAAATTGTACTTTAAATCATTGCTCTGATAAAGGGGTTTCTATTATTTGTTCAATATTTATGCTCCTGGTAATGTAAGTGAGCTGCTGAGTTTTAAATTCTATTAGTTCAGCCTGGAAAAGTTCTTGTTGGGTTGGGGGAATTGGATGCAATTACCTTTTACTTAAACAAAGAAACGGTTTATGAAGTGAAAAAAAATCCTTTTCCCTATTGTTTGCACTTTGTATTTTCAATTGCCCCTCTAGTGTTCTTTCCATTTTATTTCTTATGTGGGTAAAGTTTCAGTTAACACTGAAGATAACCAAAGAATTTCAAATCACTTAGGAGTAGCTTAATTATCTTGACACATGATTTCTTTTTTATATAATATGATACATTTATTTAGATTGTAATATTAACCAACATGTTTGTAAAATTACTTGGTTTTGAATGGCTCTTTCAAAACAATTAACCTATTGTAGTCAGAGAATAACTATTCTTTATTTTTCTTTCAAATTGTTTGTTTTCACGCTGGTTGGACTTTGGCCATGTGCAGAGTCATGCGTGCTTTTCCATCCCTGGTGATGCGAAATTGGCATGGTGTGCACTTAAATCTACAAGAAATTTTAAAAAGCACATGACTTGGGTGTTCTTTGACTCATTATCTTTTTTCCATTAAAAAGAACACATGAAGTGGATTAGGATTGCTAGAGAAGGGTAAAGTTGTGGTCCTAAAAATGACTGACTTCACCCAGTCATTAGCTAATGGACTTATAAGAATCTCGTTTTTAGAATAAGTGCCTTCTCCCTCTGACTGACCTTATATAATAGAGAGTATTCTCTTCCAATACATTAAATAATGAATATTTTGTGCATTTTGTATTTCTAGATTGTTCCTGGTCATGTCCCTCTTATGTGTGCATCAGCACTTAACAGTTCTCGTTCTCAATGGTTTGGAATGTCATCATCGGCATCTATGGAATCCAATGAAAAAGAGACGGCCCAGGCAAGCAATGAACAAGAAAACAAAGCCGAACATGGTTCTAACACAAGTCTGAATACGGATGCCGAATCTTGTGATGAAACCAACAAATCAGGTTCTGATATGGGACCCTCCAACACTAGTACATCTGAAAACGTAAAAAGGAGGAGAAGAAGTACTAAACAGACTATGTTTTCTGATTCTGATTCTGATATAGATATGGAAGACCTTTCTAGGGATGACTTGGTTAAACTAATGCTGGAGATGGAAGAAAAACTAAAGGGGAAACAGAAAGAAGTTGAACAGATGAAGGACAAGGTTCTTCGCAGTTATGCTGATATGGAGAACACAATGGATAGAAATAGGCGTCAAACTGAGAACTCAAAGAAGTTTGCAATTCAGGTTTGGCATTTCTACTTCCTGGAAACTCATGAGTTCAGATGTCAGTTAGGTGTAGATTCCCTTAGTATCTGCTGGAGTTGTGCCTGTATCTGCCAAATTATTCAACTATTTTATTTGAATATGTACACACACATTAATAAGGTAAAGATTTTTTTTTTTAATCTAAAAATAAAGGTATAAGTATTTGGTGACATTTCAGCCAAATAAAGAAACTTATGCACTGTTTTATTCCTGCGAATTCAGGTAATGTAATGAAATAAATTAGTATTTGGTGAAAAAACTGATTAATATGGCTCTTAACCTGAGATGGTATCTAGCTCTTATGTTTCTTTCTCTCAAACAATGCTACAGAACTTTGCAAAAAGCCTGCTAGATGTTGCAGACAATTTGAGCAGGGCTTCGTCAGTTGTAAAAGAAAGATATTCACAAATAGATGTTTCTAGTGACGCTACTGGTTCTGCACAACTTCTGAAAACACTACTGGAAGGTGTTGAAATGACTGAGAAGCAACTGGCGGAGGTATGACTCTCTTTCCCTTTAAGAGTCAGTCTGCAGCAAAATTTTGTGTTACTTGTTTTATTCGAGATAAACATTTGCAAACCAATGCATAGAAATACCAATTTCAAAGACTATTATTCCACATTGTTAGATTATCACATTCGAAATTGTTGGGCATCCTGCATTGAGTGTCTACGCGGTTTGAGTCTAGTATTTAAGTGTGAGGTAAATCTAGCTTCTTGACGATCCTTTTGGATTGAGTGCACCGAATTTAGCATGATTAGATGATCCAATAGTGCTCTGGGGGGTGCCTGCCCATTTGATGGTTCGTGGCAGCCCAATTTTGGTCAGATTGGATCCAACCTTTTACATGTCCAACCTGGACAACATGAGTCATCTAATTTTAGTATATAGGTGGATCTAGAGATAAGCGGGGTGAGCAAAGCCTATCAACAAATTGGTAATAATGCATGCACTGTCTTTATTATGCTCTCATAGAGTGGTTTTGTTTGGCTTCACGTTTCTCGTGTTTCAGGTATTCAAGAAGTTTGGGGTTGAAAAATATGATCCTGTGGATGAAGAGTTTGATCCAAATAAGCACAATGCTGTATTCCAAGTTCCAGATCCTTCAAAGAAGCCAGGCACTGTTGCAGTTGTCCTTAAGGTACATACACATTTTTTGTTCAACTATGTCAACAATCACTCCCAGCTTCTGCATTCCATTAATTTTATTAATTTATTTGTTCAGCTCCACAAGCTGTCTTTTTATATACATATACATCCTTTAATAAAAGTTAAGCATCAATTATGTGTTTGCAGTCGGGGTACACTTTACATGAACGAATCATTAGACCGGCAGAAGTAGGGGTGGCACTGGCATTGGAGAATGAAGCAGCAGACAAGGGATCTGAATCTTAAATGAGTGGCTATAGAGTTTGAGGACTTTCATCAAGATTTTCCTTGGTTTTACAAAGCATTCAAGGATTGCCTAGAACTGAAACTCTAGACATCCCACCCCATTCCCATTCCCATTCCCATTCCCTTGACTTTTCATTGCTTTTGAAGAGAGCTACTTGTTTCTGTCTTCCGTAATCTCTAATTGTTATGGCAGACGTGTTTAATTTTAATATATCTTATTTAATGATACTTTCCTAGAAGGATATATTTCAGTCTGATAGATTTAGGTTTTTTTTTGGATTTGTGGTATAAATCTACTGGGGGTCTTATGATTTGTTGTTTTGTACTCATAACAGTTCAATTTATAATATCAACCGTTCCTTCTGTCCGGATTTCGGAATAGTACGGATTGATAAACATGTCAATTGATACTGTTTTAACTTTTTAGGGTCAAGTGATGTCATCTTAGGAAGTGAGACGTATCATTTTGCTCTTGTTTGGTTTTAGGATACTCCGTATTTGTGTTTATCTATTTTCTCACATTTACATGACCGGAGTCCGAAAAGAAAGTGAAGATGCAATACTATATTGATGCACCCATCCCTTTAAATCTACCTCTATACAAAAAGAGGTGGAATTTTGGCCACTTTTCCCGCCTAAAAACATGGGTAAGGAATGGGTCATAAACGGGTCAACCAAAAGCGACTGGAATTTGATTCGGCAAACATGGGAATTGCTTGAGAGTTGAGTAGATATTAACATTTTCCTTCAGGTAAAGTGTAAGTTGTCAGTCGCTATGCAAACCTTCTTATCCTTTGGTTTTTTTGGTTTGTATGATAAGTAAAAAAAACCAGCTAGCTCTTCGTTTGTTGTGCCTATTAAAGTGATGGAATACTTAAAGTGATGAATGAGCTGCCAGCCTCCTAGACTCAACTCCTCTTAATTTATACTCCGTATTTGGCTTTAATTAAGCATTTTATTTTCAGTACTCCGTATTAGAATGATCTAGACTCTCTAGAGTTTGGCTAAATTATAGAGTGCAGTTAAATTTTTGAGTAAGCTTATATGGATTAGTTAAATATATGTATATATTACTCCGTATTAGCTTTTATTTGATGAGGGTTTTATTGTTTGTTATCATAAGATTTTCAATAAAAATGTGAGCCAAGTTTTTTGCCGGGCTAAGCTAACTATTACACCGTTTTTATTTTTTAAGTTCAGTGAATAATTGCCCAGGATTTTGTTGTTTGTTTTCAATTTGAAAAATTTTTGGTGTACACCTTTTGTACATTCATCTGTGTCACACACACAGAATTGTTTGTCTACAGACAATTCTAGAGAGTTGTGTACGGCTTTGTTTGTAACCACTTGTGCTTAAATAAAAGCACTTTTTGATAAAAAGTGATTAGTAGTAAAAGTTGGTAGTATTTGGTAAAATAAGTGTTTTTTGTGTAATAGAAAAAGTAAAAAGTAGATTCTACACGGAAGTCGAGAAAGTAAAAGTTGGTAGTGTTTGGTAAAATAAGTGCTTTTTTCTTAAAAAAAAGCCAAAATCACTTTTCTTAAGTGGTTGCAAACAAAGCCTACATCTAGGCTCTAGCACAATTCTTTCAATTTTATGTTTTAACACAATATGCATAGTGATGTACTCTGTACCTCCTTTGTCTCAATTTAAGCTTCTCATTTGTTTCTTTTGGATGTCTCTATTGTTATACTACGAGGCCGTTTGGCAACATTGTTTTTCGGCTTATGAAGCTTATCAGCCAACTTTTTCACCAAACACGTAACTTTTGCTTTCGCGAGCTGAATTGTGTAATAAGCAGAAAAAGTAATGTTAGAGTTACTTTTCTGGCTGTATTGGTTGAAGTTAATGTAGATGATCATTTTAGCTATTTTTACATATAATTTTTTCTTTATTTTATTAATAAAATGTATTTTAAAAATAATTTTTCCTTAAATTAGCAGAATTTGCCAATGCAGTCACTTCAGCCAAAATTTCATAAATTTCAGCATAATCAACCAATTTTCATACTACCAAACAGGCTCTATGTGTTTTCTACAAGTTACATTTGCATAATTAGATGTTCAATATACGCCTACCTGATGGCTGGGAATTGGTATTAATTGCACCTATTACTCTATTAGATGTCTCGAGGGGAGGACTTACTCACTTACACTTACAATTGGTTCTTGAAGTAATTTACATGTAGGAAGCACGTTTCAAAGTTAATGCCTTTGTCATTAGTAGAAAAATAAGTATTTTGGAAATTGATTTTGAGTTTAGTTTCAATTTTCAAACACTCTTAAACACTTAAACTAATTGAAATAAAATAATGCTGGTAAAGACACTTAGTTTATCGGACTCCTCCGTCTCATTCAAATATTCCCACTTTTCTTTTCTGGACGTCTCTAGCTAAAGATTCTCATTTTCTATTTTAGGAAACAATTAACACTCTTAAATAACAATTTAATCATCAAATATTAAAAAAAAAATACATCTATAACATCATAATTATCACCAATAAAACATCATATTATATACTCCGTACACATCAACAATATTTTTCAAATCAGCACATTTAATTGTTATCTAAATAATTATGTCATTTTTTAATGGGAACCTTTAAACGGGATAGAGGTGGATAATCACAAGGAGACGTCGCTAGCCTTCATTTTGGAAAAAGTTGAGTTTATGTGTAGATAATTTTTCATAGGTATGTTTATCCTCTTAACTACTCTCACATGACTATAGATGAACACTATATGAAATTTAATAAGAAATATCTAACTAGGGGATAAAGCTATTTAATATACAAAAGCAATAGAAAATTGGCAAAGTATTGCCAAAAATCACGGGTCAAATATGGTTCTCAATACAAGTAAATATACTCCGTACTTCGTATGCCTCAACTCATACACTGGATGATGGGGAATTAGATTACTGGGAAAGTTTTAAATGCTCAATGTCTCAAGAAAAATGTCTCAAAGGTACACACTTTTTATGTACGCACTTTTACACATGTTTGTGTAGATTTTTTTTGTGTGTACAGACAAAACGTATTTTGTCAAAATACAATTTTTCTGTATAGAGAAAAAAACCTATACAGACATGTGTAAAAACGTATACACAAAAAAATGTGTACCCCAAGTCCAACTCATGCCTCAATGCATGAATAACTTATGGAGCGGGGTGCATAGCTATTAGCCTATTAATTACTCCCTCAGTCCCTAATAACCTTACTAAGTTTGACCAGCACGAGGATTAATAAAGTAAAATTGTGTGGTTGAGGTTTGTGCAGAGGACAGAGAATTAACTGGAACTACAAATTCTTTACTTCAAAGGGAAAGTGGTAAAGTTAATGGAACATCCAAAAAAGGAAAGTTGACAAAGTTATAAGGGACGGAGGAGTAGTACTTAATATTCTTGGCAATACAATTGCCTGCCCACTCAATCAAATTTCGTACTTTTATCACGCTAAAAAATTTATTTTGTACTTTTTTACTTAACATGGAGTATATATTACGGAAAATAGGATTTATATATACTCCGTATAATATAATGTTTCTATTTTTAAATCGATCGCCTCTTCTATAATTCACTTAGGACAATATATTAAATCCTTTTCACCCAATTAAAAAATATTTATACTAAGAAGATATAAATTATTGAATATCTTTATGTTCCGTGCATCGCACGGGTGAAAATCTATTTTTTATGAAAGAGAGAAGTATAAACATTAATTATTTTAATTAGATGGGTGCACACTGCTACGTGATATGTCAACCTTTTTGAAAATGCGAGTAAAATTCAATTTCCTTCAAAATATAGGGTGTAATCAAATTCTCTTATATATTATATTCCCTTCTTTTTCAGTAGTTTATTCACTAAAATTTTCACGCTAGTGTTGGTGGATAAAAAGAATTAGAGAATCGTAGAAAATGAAAGAATAAAAAAAGCAAGGGAAAATCTCAAAACGAAGACTGCAATACTGCATTGGTAAATATAGCTTAAGCTAAAGTTATCAGCATAAATAGGATTACCATTGTATTCATAATTCATTGCAATGTACTACGTAAAATTAAGCATTTATATAGTTATTAAAATTAAATAAAGCATTTTGCCACAGCCCGCATGATCACTAAAGTAGCAATTTTGACCATCAGTTTTGTTGTTGTATAAACATTATTTTAGTAAAACTATTTACCTTCCATCACTTTGAAGGTGCCATCAATTTTGACCATCAGTGTCTTCTTCAAGGTGTCTTCTTCAAAATTGATGGTGCCATCACTTTGAAGGTGCCATCAATTTTGACCATCAGTGTCTTCTTGAAGGTGCCATCAATTTTGTTGTTGCATAAAGTAAAACTAAAGTAGCAATTTTGACCATCAAGTAATCTTCTTCAAGGTGCCATCACTTTGAAAAATCGATATATTTCAAATCACTCATCTCTTTATCTTCCATATATTACTCGTATACGTTTAGCCTACATGAATGTAATAAAAAACTAATACGGAGTAAAAATCAAGTCAAGATAACTCATCATAGGTTAGCCATACATAAGGTCTAACAAATAATAACCATGAGTAAGGATGTTTTTACTTGGACAGTAATTTGTCGGTGGCTTGGTTTGGTCTGAACTGGTCTGATCTGGTCTGGTAATGTCTGATCTCTTTGTATTTTTTATAACTATTCAAGTCTGATCTGGTAATGTCTGATCTCTTTGTATTTTTTATAACTATTCAAGTCTGATCTGGTCTGATCTGCTTTGGTCTAATCTGTTCTGGTCTGGTCTAGTTCGGGACGAATTACAATCCAAATAAAAATATTCTAAGGTTAAACAAATCTTACATCTACTCCAATAGGTGAAAAAGATATTTAGAATGAGATACTTTACAAAAATTTAATAAAATTCTATGAAAAGTATGCAAATAAAGAAACATAGTAGACATTTAGATAAAAATGTGCATATTCACGCAAAGAAGCGCACAAATAAACACATATGCACACAATACACTGATAAAAAATAAGTAAAAACTCCGTCAATCATTCAAGGAATGCCTTTGAATCTACCAGAATTATGTTAACTTAATCAAACATCTCCAATAGTCTATATTATGAATAAAAATTATGTCTTTCAAGAGGTTTATGGTCATCAAGTTCAACCTCATGTACTCATTCCATGTTTTATGATATTTTTGTATCATCCTTGTATCATCTTGTGCGGTTTGTATTTTTTTTGAAATGTTTTACATGTCATATCCTTTTTATAATCCTAACATAATTTGAAATGTTTTACATGTCATATTCATATAAGAGACAGTCAAAGTATATAATTACACATTCTGAATTTTATGATGAATTTGTATGCACTTCAAATTTCATAGCTCCAAAACTTATTTTCTGCCGGAAAAGTGAAAGATTCTTTCTTTTTCGCCAAACAAAAGTCAAATCAA